TTATGCCATGCAAATAATTTATCAGTAATAATTAATAGCATGAGAAGCATTATTTTTAAATTCCATGAGCAGAACAAGCCTTTAATCTTATTTTCTCTTGCTTCTGTAAATCGGATCCAAACATGTAACTTTTATCTACCTACAGGAGGATCTTTGTTTAGAGCAATGGTTGCTATGCTCAAATTTAGTAAGTTTTCACAGAATTCTGCAGAACAAGTAAATATAGGTATAGTTAGGAAAAAGTACAACAGCTATAAACATATCAGGAGTCCTGGGGAAGGGTTTGTATGCATAAAACCTTTCTTGCTTTTTAACAAGAATTTCCACTGATCTATTAAAATATACTGTTTCTCCCTACCAACCTCTCCTCAAAACATATATTCATGTATTCCAAAGCCAGAACAGCCTGTGAGGTCTGATCACCACTGCTGTACTTGCCAGAGAATGTTACCTGGTTATGCTTACAATAAGACTATGCCATTTTTGAGTTTCCAGTGGCTTATATAAAGAAGGAAACTTAAAAAAATACATCTTCTCTGACTTTAGCTGAGCTGGTAACTTTGCCTTTGGCATTGCAGCTGCTGCACTTGAGTTTTCTTCAGTTCCCTGTACAAGGGATATCTGAAAATTCCTCACTGTTTTATAGTGAGTCTTGATCAGAGACCTGAAACTCCTGGATTCAGGTAATGATTGGTGAATCTCAGCTCTCAATGGAGGAAAAATGTACCTCTGTCAATTCTGATGGTCTGAAAGAAGATTTGAAAACCTAACGACTCAAGGACCAGAAAAAAACCCCAGCAAACTAGCAACCAACCTTTTTAAAATACACAGTTTCTAGATCAGCTTCACATTTGGAGGCCTTGAGTCATGATTTCAAAGTGTCCAACTGCTGCAGTCGTCAGTGTTTGACAGACCCTGCCTGCAGAACACCATAGCACGCTCCTTATAAATGAAGCAAGGCAGAACAGGAGTTGTGAGGAGGGTGTCACTATGTGACAGAACATGGCACCTGGCATTCTTCAGCTTTCTCTGTTTCTCAGAGACACCCCAGATTTCTCCCTGAAAGTGTGCTTCCCTTCCTGACAGTGCTCTGCAGCTCTTGCCTGCAGGAATATACCAGAGAGTTTGGCACTACTGCTGTGAAATCTTGAAGTGTTATTTTATGACGAGCTTTCCCCCCCCTGCACTGATGGGAAGAACACAAGGCAAAGTCAAACAAAGCTCTTATTCATTGCCTCAGCCCTCTATGTCACACACCCCCATGCCTACGCATGCACACACAGACACACTTCAGCAAGAGCCTTCCTTGTGTGTACTCAAGCAAGCACAGCCCCAGGCAATGAAAGGAGAAAGGGCCCTCATAATTGTCATTTATCAATATTCATAAAGAACCTGCCTTAACCCCTCTTGTGCACGCTCAGGAGAAAAAAAAACCCCACCACAAAATGAAACGCAACCAAAATAAAAATAAAACAAAATAATCATCTCGCTGCTCATTACCGCAGGGGATTTCCTCTCAATGTCACCACTGCCCTGCGCAGTAATTGGCATTATCTGTTATCTCTGAAGCCATAATAAGGTTTGCCACGAGGCATTTTCTGTAATCATATTTTTGTTTGTCAGCTTGTGAGATCCAGACACCGAATATGAGGTTGACCAAAGCAGAAGCCCAAGGCAGAGAGGATGCTCGCGCCAATCCCAGCTCCCACCGGTGATGTCACGCCCAGCCAATGAGGCACCCGCTCCCAGCCTCGCCTGGCACTGCAGCATTCCCTCGCTAGAGATGAAAGAGACTTTTCCAGGGGAAAGCAAGGATTTGTGACCTACCCCGATTCGTGCTCCCACATTGTTTCTGACAGAAAAACACAGTCGGCACTGAATTAGCCGAGAGCTCTCCCACGGTTTGGAGGCGACACGTTCAAAAAGCCTATTGGTTTGGGGCACGCAGCAGCCCCAAAGGCCCTGAATTTAGGAGAGCAGACACCCAGTATTAGGTGAATGGCAACTTAGGAAAAACCCTCAGTAATATCTGAAGAAAACTTTGCAGGCTCGGATGGTGTTACACCCATGTTCGAGGAGCCTCAGGTTCCTCTGCCATGAATTGTACCAGTGCTGAGCGCGTCTGCTCCAGGCACTGCAGCACAGTGCAGAGCCCTCACAGCTAGCACAGAGGAAGAGCTGGAAGTAGAAGCAATAATGCTGCATCACTGAGCTAACTGCTTGGCTTGCCAGCTCAGGCAGAGCAGCAAGGTAACGCAGGATGCCACGTGATAGCTCTGCATGGAGCTGTCTGTTCGGTGCACGGCTGCCTGTGGGCTCCTAGCATGGCACAGTGCTATGTACACAGAAAAGTCCTTAGAGAACCCTACAGTGGGGTACCCATAAGCTTTCCCCCATGGCCAACCTGTACCACAAAAACCCACAAGTGACTGCACCAACGGAGTGAGGAACATAAAATATTCCCCTGCTGCTTCCTGCAAATAAAGCAGGAACAGAAAGCACATACGTTTTTAAAACGACACACAGATTCAAGCTCCACACCTATTCTGCTTCCTTGTCTTATCTGCTTGTTTGAAAACACCTCTCAGAGGCAATTTCTCCACACAGTAGCAGCAGAAGCCTTTTACTGAAGGAAGGACTGGGGAATCCTTTCTAAATCTTTGATTCAGGAATCCTGGTGCATCAATGCATTTTGAGCAGTGAATGCTGCTGTGAAAATAAGCCACAGATATTTCACAGTGTTTTGGGAGGTACAGGAAGAAGATGGGACAATGATATGGGGCTGGGGGACACCAGACTATCAATCTATTCTGCCAGTAGGTTAGAGGAACCCACATTTAGTCATTAACCAAAGCAGAAGCCTTCATTTTTCAACGTGGTCATAACTGGATAACCTGCCTGATGAGATGATTTGTCATTTCACTGCCCCATGACAGGACAAGGTCAGGCTTCATTGCTTAGGAAAGCACATTAACTTTTTTACTCACACACAGGCATACATATATATTTATGCATACTCCGATTTTCAAAATGGGTTTATTGCTAACTGTTCAGAATACAACACAGAATCTAAAACAACACAGACCACACAAGTCTCAGAGTGACCTGGGGGGAGAGCTTATGATTTAGTGCTAACTTACACAGTACTGGATGCTAGTTGAGTGGGAGTTAGCAAAGAGACAAGGGATTTACTTCTAAACAAGACTACTGCCCACAATCCAATATGTTTAAGAGAGGAAAATGGATTCCTCAAGAGAGACATGCACTCTGTCTTGAAAATTCCACATACTGTTAAACCTGCAGAGGTGCTTGTCTGTCTGTCTGACATCCTCACTCAGTTTACTACTAAAGAGGTATCCATCACAAGCCCAAAGGACTAGTACGTATGTGAATATATGCATGCTTTAGTATAAACTTCTATCCCAATGGAGATTCAGATTTCTCTGCAATATTCATATGGAAAAGTAAAGAATTTCACTTCAGTTGTACTTAAACATTTTTGAGTCTTCTTGAATTAGATGTCTAAGTATAAAGCCAAGTAAGGAACAGAGACATGTCTGTATGCAATCCACCAGTGGTTGCACTGCCCAGTGTATGTAAGAAGTAACAGCTCTACAACCTACCAAGGATCATGCTGGTTTTAAGAAGGTCATGATCACTCAGTGCTGTTGATTAGCAAGGAGAAAAAAATGTGGAATTCACAGAACAAAACTAATCAGAGGTCTCTGCCAACAGAGAAATCTTAGATCCTCTGGTTAGGGCATGCAGCCTGCTCTTGGCTTCCCTGACTACGGTAACCCTGCGTGTGCCAGGCAGGCTTTGTCCTCAGGACCTTCTCACCCAGATCCACCACCTTTGAACTGCCTCTTTCATTAACAGTATGCTCTTAACATATCCTCAAGAAAGGCTCTTATTTCCCATTCCATTTATTAGAAATATGTTCTCTTACAGATTATATTTCCTGTTGAAATGAGTCAGAGATGTAGAGGGAGGTGGTTAGAAGAGCAAGTTAAATATTTAAGCATCCATTTTTTGCTGTGGCCCATTTAATGCTGTGGACATCTGGTTTGCAAGTTTTCAGCACCGAACTGGGGGTACAGAAAATCCCTGTATGGCTACTGAGAACCACACAGTCATTATGCAAATCCAACTACTGCAGTATCTATCAGTGGCCCTTGGCCTCCTGGAGGGGGGAATGTGTGGCTGGCTGTGGCTGTGGAGAAGCAGCGACACAGATATAATGTAAATGTTCTCCTCCAGCCAATCTAAATGCAAGGAGCTACATTTATAAGAAATAAGCAGGCAGTTATGGGTCAGCAGCTGTACAGAAACTCTTTTGCTCAGACTGATTACCACAACTTGATTTCAGTGTAATTTAAATTACTTAAACTTACTGAAGATGAAGGAGAAACTTGTCCCATTTAAAACACAACCTGAAAGCACAGGTTAAACCACACTTGATGGTGAAATAATATGATGGAGTTAGTAAGTATAAGAACATTCTTCCCTACTGGAAAGGAAATTAAAGGCAACAGTGACTCAAATGCCCAGAAGGGACTTAGTGAAGGTTGCCAAAAGCCAGCAGGTTTCTGAAAACTGAAGGAAACCATAAAATGACTTTGCTGTCCTCATGATTGTCTCAAGTTTCTTCAGGGATTCATTTTGATGTAGTGTATATAATCCTTAGTTATTAGTAAGTGCCCCAAAATTATGGAAATGAAACTGATGCTCCTTGGTGGTTTTGGTTTTCTTGTTTAAAGCATTCCCTGTGAACTCCCTCTCCCTCCAGTGAGAAATGATGGACAATTTTCTTCATGAAAAGTCTATCTATGACTGGTACACTGTCTCACAGATGGCCAAGAATTAGACTAATACAACAGCACTTTACACAATGTTTTTAGAGATTTACAGCATCAGTTATTCAATAGCAAGTAAAAGTATCAAGATAAGATGTCCTTTTATGTAACAGGCAACTCCTGCTGGACAAGGGCTGTACTCACCATATTGAATGACTATGGCAGAAGTCTAAAGCAGAGATGATTTGTCGGAAGAACTTCCTGGCTTCTTTTGGTGTCAATCTTCCTTTTTTTACGAGATAGTCGAAGAGCTCCCCACCTGACACGTGTTCTAGCACCAAATACCTAGAAAATAACAAAGCCAGGATTTTGTAAGCACATGATCATATCAACCCCCTCACACTCACAGAGTTATATACAAACACTTGCATTTACACATGGTCAAGTAGAACACTTCCAGAAACAACAGTGGGAGAGAATCAGAGTTTAAAAATTAGGAGTGATTAATATGCAAACTTCAGATATGTCACTGTTGGACTCAGTGTCCCAACATCATAGTGAGAGATAATCTGGAAGCCAAAAATGATGCAAAAGACCAGGGGGAAGAAGAGAATAATCAGGTATAAGCTTCCACAGCAGCTCTTAAAGCTACGGTGGAGTAAGACTGTGTACCAGGAAGCCTCAGGTCCTTTAACCAAGCTGACAGTTCTTTATAAAACAGCTGTGGCAAAGCTGCACTCAGACAGAGCCAGACAGATGTCAACAAACTAGAGAGAATTAAAGAAAAAGGTGAACAGTGTAAATTATGAAAAAAGAACTACACGTGTGCAGCCTACAGAAAAGCTTTTATTGCTGTACAGCAGTGATTTGTTGGAGTAGCTGCCTGTCCTTGCAACTCACACGTGAAAAATATGACACTGAGTGAATAAATGCAGCACAAAGAGAGGAAACTCCAGACCTCATACAGTACTCCTGGCAGTCATACAGTGAAGAGTAAAATCTTCTGGAAGGAAAGGACTTGCCATGGATGGACCGTCTTGTGGTTGTAGTGGGGGTAATGAAAGGCAGACAAGCAGAGGAAAACAGTATAAATCTCTGGAAATGTTGCCTAATAGTGGGAACAAAAATAGTTTTCCCAGGGAAGTGGCAGGAGCACCATCAACCTAACTGTTTAAAAACAAGCCAGATATAATATGGACTAAGCAATAAACTTCTACTGGCAAGAGAATTGCTTGAAACCTCCATAAACTCTTCCCATCTCCATTTTGATTTTGTGGCCTACTCCCTCCTTGCTTGTTTGGCCAGCACATATTATTTTAATACAGAAATGAAGAAGTTAAGCTGTGAGATAATTTACCCAGAATGTGACATTACAAGTATAAACAACAAATTCTTTTATTTTTACTGAAAAATCACTTTTGTTCTTCGGCTCTGTTAGCTGATTTAAACCCTGTAGGAGAGATAGGAATCTGTACTCCTCTCTTACTGCCCAACACCTTTGACATGAGTTTCAGGGTTGCACAGCAAGGGATGTGATCTGACAGGTGGTTTCTGTAAAGCAACAATGTAAAGGTGAGCAGGGGATGCAAACCTTTGGCAGTTTGTTTGAGAGATACCACCAGAAAACTTGCAAACAGGAATCATCATAGAACTTTACAGAATCATAGAGTTTTAGGAGTTAGAATGGACCTTACAGATCATCTAGTCCCAACCTCCTGCCCTGGGCAGGGACACCTCCTCACTAGATCAGGTTGCTCAAGGCTGCATCCAACTCAGCTTTGAGCACTGTCAGGGTTGGGGCAGCCCAGGGAGGTAGTGGATGCTGCTTTTCCAAATCAAAATTTAGTTGTTTTTCCAAATTTTGAGTGTATTTCTCAGCCCCTGCCTCCCAACAGCACAGTAGACAAGGCTGAACTGTATGTGCAGTATGAGCCCTCAATCTTTTGCTGTACAGCAGGATAGTTTTACTACCACCATTAATCCAAGTCTTCAAAATTTGAGTGGACAACAAAAACAATAATCCAAATTATTCTCTTCTCTGTACCTCAAACAGCATAATCTCCAAGGAAATTTCTGAATTTGAAAATGAAAGTGGAGAAGATTATTATAAATTTAGGGTCTTATTTATTCCTATGCTCAACATTTCCAAACAGACTGGACAGGTGAAGGACTACAAACATTAGCCTTGAAGTTGCAAAACTGGGACCTGAGCTCCTGGTCCATCATCAGCTCCTGTGTGACTTCCATGTGTCAGTTCCCAGCTAGCACAAGGTAAAGCACTGTCCTGCCTTACAGAAATGCAGCAGAGACTGCAGTAAGACAGACATTATTATTGTCCTGCCAGCTAAATAAGTAGTAAAAAAGCACAAAAAAGTGGACATTAAAATGAAATTTTGAAATTTAAGGAATTAAAAATGCATTTTCTGCATTTTTTTATCAAAACAAACAGTTACAAGTAATATAGTAAAGCTGACATTTTGTTTTCATTAAAATGAGTGAAAAAGAGAAAAATCTTGAAAATCACATTTGGAATACGTGGCTTTTCTTCTCTCCAAGACAGATGAGCAGTACTATACTGAGTACACCTTGGTAATGCAGAGATCACTGTTTATCCACATTACATTTCTTGAGCAGCTCATTGACACACTCAGGATAAAGCCTATATGCAGTAGCCATGGGCACTGGGGTGTCCACATGGTCAAGTCCCAAACTCTTGCTTTCCAAGCCTTGGCTAACAGACAATCTGGTAAGAGAGTTTGCTATGTAATTCATTCTCCCTCTCATATTAGAGACAGATTTGGCTAACTATCCCATATGGCAGACCCAAGCCTGGCACAGAATCAATCCTAAAATTCTTCTTGACAGCTCCCTCTCTCACTGTGCCCAGCAGAAGCTGGATACAGCAGTGCATCCTGCCCCCAAAAATCAAATTGCCAGCTCCTTTCTTTTTATGGGAGGTATCTTACAAAGATGATTGCAGGTACAGGCATACAGAACACCCTCCACACTGGTTTCAAATGCAGAGTTTTGGAAAAACATTTCTATCACCTACAGCAGGAACTGCAAAGCAATTTATTTTCATCAACTTCAGCTTATTAAAAACACTCAACAAAAATGCACTGACACTTTGTATGAAAAATAAAACAAATTGAAAGACAGGGAGCATTTACAAGGTTATTCATTTTTTGCTTGCCACCTAGAAGCACCAGATATAATAATGGAAATGAACAGGGGAGAGCATTTGAAAAAGATTTGTGCCTATGACAAGTCAAGGGACACAGAGAAGCACAGCGACGATGTATTCTGATCTGACAAAGCCCCCAACGTGACAGGAGTGAGAAGGATGACAAACACATTCCCCAGTGGTCGAGTGCAAGAAAAAAATGCTGCAGGGATCATTCCACCAGGCTATGTTGCAACCAGGATTTCTGAGTTCAGATTTGCAGCTGGTCATCTGCCAACTCTATTTCCTCTAGTAAGATGTGGGGTTTTATTTAGGATAGCCCCCAACTAGGAGATTTTCTGTTAAACAAGGGCATAATTCAGCACCTCCTCTGTGTAAGCCAATGTTCTGCTGGCTCATTACATGGCACAGTAGCAGTACACTTGTCAATCACAAACAGGACAACAAGAGGGCTTTAAACATTTCGAAGGGTTGCACTGGTTCTAACTATCACTGTACAGCTTACACAAACCTCACTAAGTGCTGTATATCTGTATATATCCTCCTATCCATGTATGTGTGAGGGTGTCTGAGTGACTCCATAGGAAAAGAGAATAAACACTCTTAAAAGCCAAACAGAAAAAGCAAAGCAAGAACATTATTTCAAAGGCTGGAAAATAAAGCATACAGACACTACATCTTTCCTGAATCCATGGCACAGAAAGAATCCAGATCTTCTGAGTTGACATCAGCATCTAAAATCCTTTCCTTTAGAAGAGTGCTATAGGATTGGAAGTATGCCAAAGCAGCTCTTGGAGGATCTAGGAGAGGGTAAATAACACATAGCCTGTGGAGGGGAAAAACACTTAACATTTTACCAAGTTTCTCTTCCCTTTTATCTTTCCCAGATATGACAGATTCTCATTTCACTATAGTACTACTTTTCCCATTTATTCTAAGCAAGCAAGCAAATTCTAAAAAGCCCAGAATGGTAATCAGAACTAGTCTCCTAATACATTTGGAGATGAAAAGTAACTCACTGGTCAATGAATGGTTTGGGTTTTTTAAAATCCTGTCTAAGATTGACAGCATTGGTCTTCCCATTGTAAAAATGTAGGAAACCCTGTTCTATAATAGCCTTTGCAAAGAGGTTCAAGGAAAGGAAATACCCAGTCTCTGACTGACAGCATGCACACTACGTGCTGTGATAATACAGAGAGGAGCTATATTAGGACAAAAGACTCTGTAAGAGCACTTAGCTCTCACATGCTGGATGCTCTGGACACACACCAGCTCTTCTAATCCTTGCATTTCACACGAGAAAAGTAAGTATTAAGTAGCATTAACCTCCTGTTCTTTACTGATAGGGAACTGTGAAGCAAAGCAACTTGACCAGGGTTACAGCCACCCAGTATCAGAGCTGGGATTAGCACACCTGGGGTCCCTTGTGCCTTCTTCTCCATGCTGTCCCCATCACCCACTTTCCCTTTGCTTTCTAGGACACTGGAAAAGCCTGAAAACATCATGGTTTTGCAACTCAACATGCAGAAAAGTGCATGTTGAAAATAAATTCTTGATTACTTTTCCCCTCACTAGATATATTCTTTAGGAGGTTGCAAATATTTTCACAGGCCACAGCTTGCTTTTGTAAAGACACTAAGATCCATGTCTTGCATTAATACCTCATGTCCCTGCTACAAGCCAAGACATGAAACTAAAAATCTCTGGTTGAGTTTCAGAGCTTGAAGGAGACAAAAACGCAAGGTCTTTAAAAACCAAGAAGATGAATACTAAATACAAGAATAATTTTGTCAATTGGAGAGGACCAGAGAGATTGTGTGCAGCAGCATTCTGTCTATTCCCTTTGCCATTTTTCCATCTGCATCCCATCATCACCAGCTCTCCAATAAAAGCTAGTTCCTAACCTCAAATGACCCACTATATATCATGTCAGAGATGTGCGTGCAGCTTATAAAAGTTTATTAAAAATAATCCTATGCTCTTTTCTATCTTTCTTTTTGGTGCATTGGATTTACTCTTGCAGGAACCAAAACAGTAAGCAAGTAGTAACAAAAAGTCTAGCAAAGGAGGGATGATTTCTGCATCTGAAACACATGAAGTAGCCAAGATGAATGTGGTGAAATGTGGTCCTAAACTACCTTTATGCATCTCAGACTCTAAC